GACAAAAGAGAGAAGCTAGTGGGGTTTTTTTGTTTGTTTTGTTTTTAATATTTGGAGACTTAAGACATTGTACTCCTCTCTCATTCTTCCTCTATATATTTCATGCACCAAAAGTAATGTAATGGTATCCATGTTCAATTCATGAGTGATTGAGTGAAATCTAAATGTTATTTGCCAAATTGGAAAAAAAAAGGAGCAGGAAAATACAATAAAGCTTCAAGAGAGAAGTGCACACAGTAAAAGGGGGTAGGGTGGTCATCAGAACAGTCTCTTTATTCAGTGTAACATGAATTGATTTGTTCACTCATATCAACAGTTTAATTTGACTCATTCCAAGGAAACATGTTTACTTGTAATACTAACTTTTAAAGCAATATCTAGATATCACCCTCATTTTGATATAAAAAAATCATGCTTCTGTTTTTAAAAAATTGCTAATCAGAAAACCATGTACAAAATGAGAGTATTTGGACTGAATGTGATTTTGCTCCAATGCATAATTTTTGGAGAAAAAGAAAGCTTAATAAAAACAAACCTACAAACCCGTTCCTTAGTCGATATCTGCATATTTTATGGTGCCATTTAACTTTCCTTGATAGCCTTTGATTATTTTAAAGAAAAAGAAAGGAAATAAAAAGGATTGGTGCAATTTTTTCGTAAAGACATTAGTCTGTGTTTATAAAACATTCAATTTGGCCTACAAGACAAATGGGTTGACTTATAAGTTAGGTGTCTGAGTTTCCTTTGCAAGGAGGGAGACGTTTATTAAGACTGTGTGTTTGGGATGAACCACAGCTTGCAACCTCCCTACTGCTCCCTTTAAACTTTCAAGACTTTGAAGAAAAGGACAGAAACATGAAAATGAGAGAACGCATTTCAGGCCACTTTGAGACTGAGATAGCATAACAGGAGAGCTCTAAGGAAAAGAGGGATGTTCTTAGAAAAATCCACTTTATCTTTCTCCTTTTCAAGATTAGAAGAAAATTAAATGAGCTGAATGAAAAAAACAAATTCACTAGAAAAAAATGATATTCAACTTACAATTTAGTATTTAAAATTTGATATAATGTCAGAGCTAAGAAGGACCTGAGAGATCTATTAGGGCAGTGATCCTCAAATTTTGGGTGCTTGTCAAAATATTTTTTTAAAAAAAATATATTTTTATTGATGTCAGAGAGGAAGGGAGAGGGAGAGATAGATAGAAACATCAATGATGAGAGAATCACTGATTGGCTGCCTCCTGCTGGGGATTGAGCCCACAACCCGGGCATGTGCCCTTGACCAGAATGGAACCTGGTACCCTTCAGTCTGCAGGCCAATGCTCTATCCACTGAGCCAACAGGCTAGGGCTAAAAATACTTATTTTTAAACCCCATTTCTAGAGATTTCTTTATTTAATATACATTTTTTGGCACCTACTGTCTCTTAGGCTCCAGGGATATAGTTGTGATTAAGCCAAAATCATTGCCCTTTTAAAATAAATAACACAAGTGGTCCACATATCATATTTTGAGAAACACATTTTTCCTAACAATTTTGCTACTGGAATTATCCTGATTTTGATACTAATTTTTCATAGCACCTTTACTTTGGCATTCAAATAGAATATGTATAGTAAAATCAAACAGAAGAGTTTATGTTCCAGAATGAGCAAGCAAAACAGGTCAGGGCTCCTTCTGCAGTCAAGATAACTGGGTTACTTCCAGTTGCTGTGTCTCTTTGGGAAAATTAGTGAATCTGTCTAGTCCTTAATGTCAGCATTTGTAAAAGTAGGAATTCAAAAGAGTACCTACAATTTGGAGATTGATATAAGGATTAAATGAGCTAATAGCTATAGTGACTAGTACATGGTAAGCTCTCAAGTAAATATCAATTTTTATTGTATGTCAGTTAATTACTATGATTGTACAAGTGTCCTTGTAAAGTCCCCCAAGGTGATCTATCTGAGTCAAGTAGAATCATGGAATTTCAGATGTGGAAGAAACTGTATAGATCACTGAGGTGTTGTTATGCTGTCGAAACAGTGCTGGGAGTCGCGGGGTGGGGAACCCAGATTTAAACTGCTGGAGAAACTCCTGCATTGTTTTGAGCTGTTTTGCCTAACAGGATTCCATGCACAATTCTAGTACAAAAAGTCCTGCTGTTAAGAAAAGCTTGAAAACCACTGGCAATCCAAATCCCTCATTGCAAAGAGGAGAAACTGAAAAGAGCAGTGATTTGTCTAAGGTCACACAGCCGAAGTTAGCGTCAGTGTAATGCAGTTACATTACTAGAATTGTGCGGGTTTCTTTGAAAAGAAGAAATGAAAATATGTTTAATTATGGCCTCGAACTATCTGTAGATAAAGGTGGAGTAAAAATACACAAAACATTCGGCATTCTGGTCTGTTCTCTATTCACTTGAAACCATTGGAATGTGGACTTTCTTCCTTTATAGGTAAAATAGGTTCCCAAATACCATGCAGTGAATTCCCATTTAGGCTGTAGGTATAGAGAAGAATAGAGCTTTAAAAATAATTTAAAAATTTAATCTTTAGGAATTATAAATTCCAATTATGATAAAATTCAGACTAATTCATAATGAGAATTTATTTTTAAAAATACCATGAAAATATGGAATTTATTTGAAAAGAAAAACATACTTTCCATTTTGCCAAAATAAAGCAGCATCATTCATACTTTCTATCTTGATAGAGCAGAACCTTTGTAACCATATTGCTCAGAACATGATGTTCTGGTTAACAAAACCCTTTCTTTTCATTTTAACCCATAGTATTGAAAATGTTAATATGTACTAGCTCTTGTTGTTCTGCTTTAGGGATTGATAATGAACCCAACTTAATGTTTCTTTTATAACAGAGACTCTTGCACTGTCTTGGATCATTTTTTCTAACATGAATTCTTAGTGCATAGTACAATGGGTACAAGTGTAACAGGAGAATATAAACTACAAGAGTAAAAGAAAAACACCCAAACCTCCCTGATATGAGTTTGTTATTATTTAACCTATTTTCTGAACTGAAAGAGATATATTCTCTATTGAGATTCTGGTTATTCAAGGTTTAGTAACTCTGAAATCACTGACTTTCATTCTGTTTCACAAAGACTAATTAAGAGATCATAGAATATCTTCATTGTTCCAAATTTTAGTTCCTGGAAACATTTGAATAATGTTAGGGATTATTGTAATCTATGTTTTAAATTACATTTTTTACAATATCAACAAAATTATTCTTTCATTAACAAAAAGTCCTTGTGTTTAACTACCAATTCACTCCAGAACCAATTGAAATAAAATAAATATAAAGAGCAAGACATGAGAACAGTAATATTTACACATTTTAATATGCTTTGTGCTAATTTTCAATATGTTTTTTTCACAAACTGATTACTTTAAACACATTTTTATATTTATATGCTGGATAATTCTCAGTTTTCTGCAGTTTATTTTCCATTGGTTTTAGTGTTTGGAATTTCCCTATGTTTCATATATTTAAAAATTTGCATTCTCTCTTTCGGTTTCAAAATCAAATAGCATATCTTTACATAAAATGAGTATATTAGTTATTTGTTTAAAAAACTTCAACACAAGACTGAGAAGCCAATTGAGAATATCCTTCTAATGCAAGGCAGCTCACTTTGAACATCCTCTGGGTGGCCAGCACTGATTGAGAAGTACAAACACCAATTCAGAAAGCTCCACTGTGAACTCCTGCCAGTCACAATCTCATTTTAAGAGTAAGATTCTAAAACTTAAAGGGGCTCAAAATTCTTTGCCTAATATGAGTAAATGTAAAGTAAAATTTAGCAACTAATGATAAATAAAACAACTTATAATTACAGTTATTTAACAGTATAACCTAGAACACAAATTTGCCTATGTTTAAAATAAGTTCTATGACTTGAAGGAAGACTTGTGTTTTCAGATCAGAACGAAGGAAGGTTTTATAACTGGGATCCCTGAAGAAGTGCTTCTCTATTCTGAATTCCCTCATTGTCAGGCCCAACTGAGTACTTGAAGTTTTTATTATACCTTGCAACAATAAAATAATAACACATTTTTTATAACTCTTTTTGATTCCCCCAAGAATGGCAAAGATTTATAGTTTCATACAATGCATTTTATCTAAAAGGACTTTATTACACAATTATGTGGAGAGAACTTCTTTGATAAAGCTTATTTTTTTCCTTCCCAAATATTATAAATGATTGTGATTAAAATTCTCCTTCTGTATTTAAATAGGGGACAAACATTTTTTTTCTGAGATTTTTGGTCTCAACATTTTGATTCCTATGGGTGAAGAGGAAGATGCATGGCACTGGTCTCCATGCTCGGTGGGAGGAACTCTCTGTTTAGAGTAACTGTGCAAAAGTTGCGAACCAGCTCAACTATGGAGAGTCTTGAAGTTTTATAATCACAATTTTTGTTTTAGTCTGACTGGATTATTCAACAATCTCTACATTTGCTAAGCTGTAGAGAGAGGGGAAGTAGTTAAGATGTCAATATCTTCTTTACTTGATTATAATTTCATATACTTAAACTTTAAATATGAATTGCTTTCCCTTTATACACAAGTTATAAAAATAAGAGGCCCTGTTTACACAGTTTGCATTTTTATGAAATTTGCAGTTTGAAAAAAAAGCTTTTTTAAAAAGTGGTAATTAATGCTTTTCTTTGAATATGCTGTAACCTTAGAATGTTTTTCTGAAATAGTTTCTGAATTTAACCCACTAAACATTTGAAGATAGAATTTTTTATTTAGCACTAGAATAAAACATACTAAGAACTGAAAAAAAAAGTTTTTTTTTCTGGTTCCACTTAATTTCCTTTGTATGTGGCACCCCCTTTGTGATAGCTATCAATATTATATTTAAATTTTATATATTGACAAAATTCAACCTACCTCTGTAAGCGCTGTGCCATTCAACAGTACTACTATTAAATTTACATACCACAGTTTAAATTACATCCATTTCAGGAGTGGTAAAATGCTAAAACTCAAGTGTCTAACTGCTTTACTGGAATGAGTACAATTTACAAATACAATAATTACATTTTAAAACCATAACAATATTACACCTAGAAGTAAATACTGTAGGACTGGTCATCATGGTATTGTGTGAGGGAAATCATTGCTGAAAAGTCGTGGGCATTTCCAGCAGGTTTATCCCAAGTGCAGATTTTGATTTGTTTTCATCAAACCCAAATTGAAACCTGTTTCTCATACAACAGTTCTCCATTATATGAATCTTCTGAATCCTTGCACAAGATTTTATTAGTTGTCTGCCAAGTATTTTCCTGTAAAACAAAACAACATACCAGCAGGTTACCTACTATATAATAATCAATAATGTGATTATTAAATGGTTAACATTTCTATTCCTCCTACCTTAACCCTAGGAGCCAAATAATGCATATTTGACGGGTGAAATACTAATTATAAGACATCATATTTTTGGGGTTTTCAATTTTCCAGACCAGCTAGTGGCCTTTTCACATTTCCATATGTAAACATTTTTCACAAATTTGGGTTTTGCTCAGAATAGGTTGGGAGATTTGTTTCTGGATGTGAGAATCCATCTTATTGTAGGAAGAATTGCCATATAATTACTTTCCAATCTGGGTCATTTCTGAGAGTGAAAGGAGTGTAATTAGTAATTATATCATTACAGCCGGCATAAAAACCAGAGCTTATCCCAACAAAGCATTGACAGGTATAGCCACCCCGGTACTGGGGAATCCCTTGCCAACAAATGACCTTGTGTGCCCAAAACCCATCTCGCGGTCACATCAGCTCATGGGCAACAAGGTCCGATCTCCGAGGTAGATTCCTTAAGGTTGCTGTTAAAGAGGGAGATGGAGCCTCTTAAATCTCAGCTAAGTCTAAAATCTATGAAGATTGGAGAAGAAAAGTTTTCAGGTAAGAAATACATTCAAGGCAAATGACATTTACCTTGCTTGTCAATATAACAAAAGTAGGATTTACTTCATTAACCTCAGTGTACACATCTATATAGTGGGAATGATTAATCAGTGCCACCTAAGAAACAGAGCCAGAGCCAGAGCCATGATAAGTAGCCAGGGCTTTCCTAATTTCTAATTTCAGTCCACTGTCCTAGTTTTTCCTTCATTCAACAATTGGTTTGCTTTCTAATTGAGATAGGAATTGAGGGCTGGGAGGGGAAAGAGGAGTAGAAAAAAAGATGAGGAAATCACAACCTTTTTCTTCGGAAGGAAGAGTTGCTGAGGCAACATTATTTTTGCAAATGAAACTCACAAGACACACACTCACCTGCAGCAAACCTTTTTTTGATGAGTGAAAATCGATAGCCTGCTCCAACAAGTTCAATGTCACAGCCGGAAAGGGTGCTTCCTTCACTTGTAAACTGCACAACCAATGGGGAAGGTTTGCTTGGGCCTTCAGATAACTGAAATCTTGCCAATAAAGAACCCACACCTGTGAAAAGAGTATTATATAATTGCAAGACAATAGTCAACACCACATTCTGGGTTTAATTTTAGAAATTATATTCAAAATTAAATACACAAAATCTAACTTATTAGAAAACAGTATATGTTCTAATATGGTGATGAATAAGATTTATCATTAAATACGATGAGTGACTCCTACTGCGTGTAGATTCAAGTGTAATTCAGCCAAATAGTATTAAAAAATTTGGAAGTATGCTACTCAGAAGGCAACGTATTCTCCAACCTATGATTGATATCAGAGGAAAGTAAACCATATCTAAACTATCAGGGAGTGTGAGATCTGATACAGAGTGGAAATATGCCTAATTAAAAGCTCTTTTTTTATGCTGAAAATATGGTCTGTTTGATGTGGGTCTGAGGCAGAAAAGGGGAAGCACAAGATTCATTGAAGAATTACTTGATTTTATTGGTTGAAATACACATATGCCAAAATGAAGTGACATATTTTGCTTGCTTTTAGTATAAAGTGTATTTTGGTTAATAGTTACCTGATACTCACAAATTATTTCAGCCTCAGATATTAAATAAAGTAAGCCTGTGATGACATTACCTCCATTTTCTGACTTCTGAGAAATATCGGGAATTTTCCACAATATTCTTTGTTGTTCGGCATTCCTAAAAATAAAATTGGTAAAAGACTTTTGCATTTGCAAGGATTTTTGTTTAATAGATGCCCTATTTTTTCCAGATAGTGTTAATTTTTTTAAAAAATGATTTTGAAGATTCCAGCTACAATTTAAACATTATCTATCTGTTTATCTATCTATCCACATATAAATTCTCTCCTTTCCTGTTCCTTATTGTAACCAGCTACAACACTGTAGGATAGATAAGTATTTAGAGGACAATATGGTTAAGTTTTTTTAAACACATCTACTGAAAGGATAGATGAGAAGGGTTAGTTCATCAGTTCAGGCCATTTACATTGGAGCTGTTATATGGCTGACATTCATTTTTTAAAAATGTTCCATTTTCTGCTTTTGACAATCATGTGGGAAAGCCAGAACATTTTTCCTAGGAGCTGCCATTGGTACTCAGTGCCTGTTCAGTCTCTGTTCCCAGAGGCTACAAAGCGAAACCCTCCACTTCTCAGGCTCCCTTGTGTTTAGGGCCCTGGGTGCAGATTAGACTTCACCAGTCACGTGCACTGCGTGAGCTCTGGAGAACAGGAGGGAGAGAGAGGCCTTTCTCCTGCTGCTTTCTTGGCTGTTTTCTGCTGCCAGCAACCTGAGGTGTGGGGATCTGACCGCAGCGCTGCAGTCCAGCCTGCAGTTTTGTGAGTGTTGAAAGGCAGTTAAGGCAGAGCTGGTAGGAGCTTTCTCATCCTTCACCCGAGTGACAGTGGGGGTTCTTGAATTCAGTGGCTGCCCTGGCAGCCTCCTGATGTTCCTTCTTGGTTATGGCCGAGGCGAGCAGCTCCTCTGGCCGGCCGATGCTACGTCTTCCAGGAAACATTCCTGGAGACCCAGCCTAAAGCTTGTTTTTCTAGCACTTCCACCATGTACGTGTGGGCATCTAAACCCCTGTGCTAAACCATTTTCTGCTTAAAATAGCTGCGGTGGTTTCTGTTTCTTTCCCTGAACCTGACACACAGGCCTGCTGTGGTCTCCAGGAGGAAACAAATGCTAAGAAGTCTGGGGTCCCTCTGTCCAGAGGAGCTCTTTGGGGAAGCGGAGGGGGGTTGGGGCTCCTTACCAGACCGCCGGGGGGAGCACGGCCTGGAGCTTGGTTACTCCTCCGTCGATGGGGACCAGGAACTGCACATTGTTGAGGGCCACCGCGGTTGTCATTGCATCCGTATTGTATTTGTAATCTATGCGCAGGTCGGTGCTGGTGGGCTCACACCGCCAGTTCACTGCCAGGTTCAGAGGTGTGGACTGAATGCCCTGGGCGGACACCTGGCCAAATGAGAGGAAAGAGAATAGTTAAGGCTCCACCATTAATCAGAAACAAGCCAGAGGCTAGGATTCTCTCCCATACGAATGTTCTTAGGCATCAAAACGTCGTGCTGTCAGTGCTGCTCACAGATGAGCTGTCAGTGAAAATCACCATGAAGGTGCCATGTGAGGGAGAGCTGTGCTTTGGGGAAGTTGTTACAGATTAAAAAATAAAATCGATGATTAAACTCTCTAGTACTGTAGAGTTTAGGATACACTTTATGTCAGTTAAGGAGGTGGGAGAGCACTGGTTAGGGGCTGAGGCCCAGGAGTTAGACAGGTCTGGATGTGAGTTCTCATTGCCAGTTACAAGCTGAGTGATCTTGGACCAGTTACTAAACTTCTCTGTGCCTCAGTTATATCCTCATCTGCCAAATGGGAATGATAACAACAATATTTACCCACAGAGTTGCCGGGCAGATTGAAGATGTTCATGGGAAACACTCAGCAAAGGGCCTGGCACAGAGTCAGTGACCAGTGCTTTAATTCATGTGACCTATTCATATTCTTATCATATTTGCCCTTCACAACAAACCAGTGAGTTAGACAAAGCAGGTTATTGTTACTCTTTTCGGATTTGTCAAAATAAGGACCTGGTCCTCTAACTGGAAGTGCAGCATTCAGCTGTCTACTGTCAATTGTAGTTAGAATCAACTGTGAGTCTGACCAAGGAAAAACCAGGTTTGAAGAATCAACTAAAATATATTTTACCTAAAGCCAATAATATCAACTTGAGTTTTAAAGGCCCACAATGAAAAAATTCACAATGTTATTATTCCTTGATTGTTCAATGTGACAACGAATAGCTTTAGGAAATTCTCCTTTTCTAAGTACGCCACCCTGTAGGAGCGATGGGGTGGTGTCTATGCCTTTGCAGTTTGATTCATGGAGTATGAGTTTTGCTGATTTTGAAGATTATAAACAGCTCTTTATTGACTTTGCAAGGTCTGCACATATGGACACCATGGTGAAGCGGCCTGAGGCAGGAGTGGCTGCTGCAGAACCAAGCCCAGAAATGTGTTGTTGTTTTTTAAATAAAATGACAGGCATGGCTTTTGAGGACAATTTCAGTAATCATTATTATGATTTTTTAAACTTTAAATATTTTTAACAACACAATCCTCTGCAAATGAACTTTTACTTAAAAATCTATCAGTTAAGATAGATCAAAAGAGCAGTTCCAGCTTCATAGTGGTTGTTCTAGTCAGCCAGGTGCTTGTGGCTAAGTGAGGGTGTGTGGCTAAGTGAGGGTGTGTTTTTGATTGTCCTTGTGACCAGAAACTAAACATGCTGCAATTTGAGGGCAATCCCACAAAAAAACACTGGTTGTGCCTCCCACCCAATTCCTTGCATAATTGAAAACAACACAATTCAACAAGAGATTTTTCAGAGCACACTTTAACACAGAACAACAGGCCTAGGGCCACTTACATGTTCCAAAGTACTCTGAAATACAGTAAGCTCCTCATACAGCCTATAAAATATCTAGGTAGGAATCATTATTATCTTTAATTGCAGATGAGGACTGAGGTCCAGGGAGATGAAGGGCCCAAGGTCAGTGGCCAGTAGGAAGGTGACTTAATTCCAGAATTCAGTTTCTTGCCAATGTTATATTTATACACTAAACTCATATTGCAATAGGTGAGTCTATCTATTTTTCTAGATTCACTTAATGACAAATATGAAGAATCTAAAAATTTCAAAGGATTTAAAATTTTTAAAAAACAATTTTAATCCGAATTGAAAATGTAGATGCAGGATTTGTAATGAAAGTTCATGAAAGAAAACAACTACAGTTTTAGTTTTACCCTGTTGGGCATAAGAACCATGCATGTGCCCCAGAATTTAACTTTCTATTCAGGGAAAAATTACATTGGAATTTCTTTTTCTTAACTCCTTTAATTTCTCTCAGAAACTTAAAGCAATCACTAAATACGTTTAAATGCTTTGGGAAAAAAGTTAAATGAAAATGCATTTTATATTATCTTTTTAAAAAATTTTTATTTTCTTGTTTAAAGTATTACAAATAGTAGTACATATGTCTCCTTTTGTCCCCCATTGACCTTTCCCTGGCCTCCCCTACTCCCCGGCACATGCCCTTACCCCACCCCTCCAGTGTCTTGTGTCCATTGGTTATGCTTATATGCATGCATATAAGTCCTTCGATTGATCTCTTATCCCCACCCCCCACAACATTCCCAGCCTTCCCGCTGTACTTTGACAGTCTGTTTGATGCTTCTGTGCCTCTGAATCTATCTTTTTGTTCATTAGGTTATAATGTTCTTTACTATCCATAAATGAATGAGATCATATGGTATTTTTTTTTCACTGACTGGCTTATTTCACTTAGCATAATGCTCTCCAGTTCCGTCCATGCTGCGGCAAATAGTAAGAATTCCTTCTTTTTTATAGCAGCATAGTATTCCATTGTGTAGATGTACCATAGTTTTCTAATCCATTCATTTGCTGATGGGCATTTAGGCTGTTTCCAAATCTTATTATCTTTTAATTATAAAAGTGGTGAATTTCTGTCATGTTATGTGTTTGTTTAATATTATCTATATATATAAAAGACTAAGTGACTGGCCAACTGGCCGACCATTCAACTGACCAGTAGCTATGACGCACACTGACCACCAGGGGGCAGACACTCAACGCAGGAGCAGAAGCCACAGGCATGGAAACATGGAACAGACTGATGAATCTCAGAGCGAAGGGAGGAGGGGGAAGGTGGGAAGAGATTAACCAAAGATCTTGTATGCATACTAGAGTCCCAGTGCACGAATTCGTACACCGGTAGGGTTCCTTGGCCTGGCCTGTGGGGATGGGGCCGAAACCGGCTCTCTGACATCCCCCGAGGGGTCCTGGATTGCGAGAGGGTACAGGCTAGGCTGAGGGACCCCACCAGTATATGAATTCGTGCACTGGACCTCTAGTTGATAATAAGCTTAGATAATCCAATTCTTACAGAAAAAACATTCATTTGCATTGTTGTAAAATGTGCCATCATATATATACTTCACTTTCAATGGTTTCCTTATGATATTATGAGTGCTTTTCAACCTATAGGGTGCATTATAATCACTTGGAGAACTTGAAACAAATACAGATATCTGGGTCATACCCTGAACCAATTAAGTCAAAATTTCTGGGAGTTTCAGGGCCCAGCAGATGTCTCTGTCTGTATCTGTGTCTGTGTCTACATCTCTATGTCTATTTCTATATTTACAAATAGATTTTAATGTAGATGTCTATGTATATCCTATATAATAAAAACCTAATATGCTAAGTATCCAGTGGTCTGGTTGTCCATTCAACCGATCAAAGCGTAATATGCTAAGGCCGCTCAACCGCTCACTATGGTGTGCACTGACCACTAGAGGGCAGACAGCCAACCGGTTGACCAGTCGCTATGACGTGCCCTGACCACCAGGGGTCAGACACTTAACACAGGAGCTGCCCCCTGGTGGTCATTGCGCTCCCACAGGGGGAGCGCCACTCAGCCAGAAGCCCTGAGCCAGGCTCATGGCTGGCAGTGGCAGGAGCCTCTCCCGCCCCCACAGCATTTGGACATCCCCTGAGGGCTCCCAGACTGTGAGAGGGTGCAGGCTGGGCTGAGGGCTGCCCGCCCCCCCACTGCACAAATTTCGTGCACCAGGCCTCAAGTCTATATATACTAGTAATTAGCACAAGTTCAGAACGAGTATTCATTTACAAATTCTCTGGTGATTATAGAGTTATGTTTAAGATGCACCAATTTCTAGTAAAATACAACTTTAAAGATAATATTTTTTCCCCATCTTAAGAAAAATAATATGGACATATTTAATGACAAAAATTATAATACATTAAAGATAACCTAGGTGATCAAGTGGCTGGGAATCGATAGGGTACTCAGGCTGTATAGAATCCTGGTTTGAAAGCTTATTTACTAAGCCAGTAATAATTTGGGAGGAGGGCAATCCTGGACAGAAAAAGAAAATTCTTTTATACTATATTGTATTGTACCAACCAGTCTTTTAACATCAAATTATTTCTTACCATGAATTTTACTAGAATTTATTTCATAGGACTACCACATTAGAAAAAAAACACCAGAGTACTTACATTTAATAATTTAAAATAAGAGGTTTTAATATAATAATGTTCTTAACAAAATACAGTGAACAAGTTTATCAATATTTATAATCTTCACTGATGTAATTTTCTGCAACTTAATTCTGTGGCATGTTTTTCTAATATTTAAAAAAAAATTTTACTTGTAAGTTTAAACTAAGAATATGTATGAATATTCTTGTCACTAAGTCTGCAAGTAGTCTTTTAAAAGTTCTATTTTCTTATAATTATAGCTTTTAAATAATATTAAAAGAAATGTTATTTTATTTACTTTTATTTAATGCTAGGTATGTTAGAATATACATTTGTAATGTAAAAACCACACCCTGGCCATATAAATAGGCTTACCTGATATTTAAGCATGTCCACATTATAATATGTAGCCTGGGGTTTTTGTTCAGACACTTTCTTTAGGTGAGTCATCAAATTTGGCATGTTTACCCAGAATTCCTTGCTATTGGCATCACTTTGGGTATTATCGCTATTCAATTGGGAAGAAAAAAATGATTATCATCTTGACATAAAGAATCATCTTAGCAAATTGCAGTCTGATTTCTACATCCATCTTTGACAATTTGTAGATTATATTATTAACAGTAGTACGGTTTCAATTCAATTGCAGTTCTAAATGGTATTAAGTTAATAGATTAATACCCATAGGGAGGCATTATTGTAGTTTTATAAATCTCAGTGAGTACTCAGTAATATTAACCAATCATAATGATAATTGGTTGCTTTGAAGAGTGAATTATTTATTAATCCAAACCTAATAGCTCTTTCTACATCACCAGTTTCCTCTGACTTAGTCAGTTAATGCAATCAAATAGCTGAGTTTATTGGTTTTCCTTTTTTTTTTTTTTTTTGTATTGACTTGAACAGTAGTTTCTCAGAAATTACTGAGTTAAATTTTTGGCCAAATGTCTTTGTCGCCAACTGCGGAAAAAAGGGTGATACCAGAATTACCATGCTACCCTTTTAGCATTCACAATATATCACCTAAGAGCATCTAAGTCATAAAAAAGTCACTTTTCTTACAAGATGACCCTGGAATTTAAATGATAATTACCATGGTAGTTACAATAGACAAGCACAGTCTTGATGAACTGAGGAGTTTGTATTCTTATGAGAAGCATTAGCTTTGCTCAGGTGCCTGCCCACAGGTGACCCACCTGATATATCTTGAAAATGCTCTTCTCAATGACAAAAAAGTCACATAAGAGTGTGAAAAGCATTTGCTCACTTCCCACATAATGAGGAAACTGAGAACCCAAGTGATTCAGAAACTGGACATACAACTCAAGTTTAATGACATTTCACTTTCAGAATATTCTACGTCAAACAGTAGATATAATTTTCTGAGCACCTATTATGTGCTAGGCACTCTGTTAACATTTCATTAAAATCTACCTGTAAAGGAAGAATTATCTTCCTTTTTAAGGATGGGCAAATGTTACAAAAAGAGAAAATTAGAGATTAAGAAGACAGAAGAGTGGCAGTGATAATGTTATAAAGGCATGTCATAAGTAAGCTGCCAGAAGTCTAACAAGTCAGAACAGCTCAGTCAAAAAAACATCAGAGCCTTGCCCTAACCGGTTTGGCTCAGTGGATAGAGTGTCGGCCTGTGGACTCAAGGGTCCCAGGTTTGAGTCCGGTCAAGGGCATGTACCTTGGTTGCGGGCACATCCCCACCCAGTAGGGAGCGTGCTAGAGGCAGCTGATTCATGTTTCTCTCTCATCGATGTTTCTATCTCTCTATCCCTCTCCCTTCCTCTCTGTAAAAAGCAATAAAAATGCTACTGTTCTGTTGACAGGGAGTAGTTTGGGGGTGGTGGGGAGCCAAGTCTCAGCATGACCTATGTGGTTCTGCTGGGCCCTGGTCTGGGTTGTTGCTATATAACTCGGGGCATGTAGGAAGAGAATCCTGGCCTCCTCCGAGACTTTGCCTCTAATCAAGCTGAGGTAAAGATGCTGATTCAGGCTGTTTACTAGTAAAGTGTTATTATCTAAAAACATTCAAGTTACCTAGAGCTTCCAGGGCAGCAGATAGTAATGGAGGGCCAGCAAAATCAAGTAATTTGCTTAAGTTGGAATAGCTAATAGGTAAGAGAGTCAGGATTCCAGCCCAGGTCAGTGTGATTGTAGGTCATACTGTCACACTATACCAAACAGAGGCGCTCAGTTACTACCCAGCAATGTCAATATAATTATGTTTCACAGAAAAGGTTTTCATGTTCATGTGAAGAGTAACGCACAATTCAAATATCGTTTGACTTTAAAGATGCTACTACAACAACAGTTTATTCCTTTTATTGGGTTCATTTTCCACCATCCTTATCCACTGTCTACTGATGATAAGTAAAATGGACAATAAATAAATTGTCACTAATACAGATTTTATTACTCTAAATCTCTCTCCAGCCACTTGAGATAGTTGGCCATTAAAATACGTATGTGCACAGATGTACAGTCAATCACAAAAAACTTGGACAGCTGTAAAAGTTCTGAGTTTGAATCTACACACACATCTGAGCAGCAGTAATTGCTTTACAGTGTTACTTCCTTGCTAAGGTTATCCCTCCCTTATCTGAGAATGAAGTGCTAAGCTACACATATCTCTAAAAAAAATGAGCAAAATATATTTACCAGCAGAGAAGTTGGGGATTTGGCAGGACGTGTTCTAACCTGCTGAAATTTATCACCCGGAAAGTCAGGGCAGCTGGCGATGGGTTGTTGGCAAAGTGTCTGGTGATGCCGGCAGGGAAGGACAACACCATTTCTCCAGTAATCTTCACGATACATCTGGCATATCAAAACACATGAGAGGAAAGAGAGGAAGCACAGATCAGTATGCTGTGAATCAAAACAGTTGTGAAAAAGAACAGGCTTATGCAACAGATGAAAGGTAAGCTCTTGCAACTCCTCTCAATATAAATCATTTCTAAGACTCAATGGTTTGTTTTAACACTTATCCAAAAAAGAGAGTGGCTATTCCACTGAGTGTCTTTTTAAACTGGAAGAAGAAAAGTACAGCTTTTCTTTTGTAGAAAAGTCTACATGTTCCCTTCACAAATAGAACCATCTTATTTTGGTGGTTCTCTCTCTCTGATTTCTGAAGTTTTGACAGCATAGTCAAAGATATTAAATTGCACAATGTTATCACATTATTCACTGGGACTTACTTTAGTTCTCCGAGGGACATGATTGATGCATTGAGCATGTTCTTTCATGTACCCTTGAGGTAAACTTAAGCTTCCAACTTAACAAATTTGCATTCCATTAACTTGTCTACTTGGTTGAAATTGTTACACCAGTTAACACATGAGTTCACACAGTAGGATGATAATTTGGAAGGAAGAATTTCTTTTTTTAAAGGCCTTGAGGTATAATTGACATATAATTATATATAAACTAGGGGCCAGTGCACAAATTCGTGTACCTTGAAAGGAACTGTGGGCCGTGAGGCTGCAGTGGACAAGGGGGCAGGTCTTGGCCCATCTTCTGTGCCCTTGCCCAGCCCCTCCTGCTGCACGACCCCCGGTCCTCTGTCTGCCAGCAGCCCTGCTCCTGCCAGCGCTGCTCCTACGTGCCGATGGGACCAGAGCCAGGCACCGGCAGCAGGTGTGAGTGGCGGCTCTGGCGCCAGCTGTGGGCGTGAGCAGGGCTGGTGCCGGGCACCAGCAGCGGGTGCGAGCAGTGGCTCTGGTGCCAGCTGCGGGAGCAAGTGGGGCCGGCGCCAGCAGCAGGTCCGCGTGCTGGGCAGGACCATGGAGCGTGGGAGCAAAGAATTTTCAGTAACCACCAGAGGCTCGCCTTGATGACAGCGACCGGCGTCCCACCTTGGTCTGGCACCCCCACTCACCTGCTCCACCATCCCGCTGCAGCCAATGGCTGCCATGTTCTCCGTGCGCCCCCTGGTGGTCAGCGCACATCATAGCAACCGATTGTTCGGTTGTTTGGTTGTTCCACTGTTTGGTCTATTTGCATATTAGCCTTTTATTATACAGGATGACACATTTATGGTATAATATTCCATAATTTTTGACACAGTATACACCTATGAAACCCTCACACATTCTAGATAATGAATATATCCAACATCCCTACATATTTTCCCATGAATCTCTGTATCCCTCTTTCCTGCCCTTCTCCATCTTTCCATTCCTTGTCCTTAGGCAGTTGCTAATACGCTTTCCAACACTATACACTAGTTTGCACTTTCTAGAATTTTATATAAACTGAATCAGAAAGCATGTGATTTCTTTTGGTCTGGCTTCTTCCACTCAGCATAATTATTTTGAGTGTCATTCACGTGGTGTGCCCATCAATAGCTCATGACTTATAATTGCTAGGTAGCATATGGATGTACTATAGGGTTTAAAAAAAACCCATTCACCTTTAAATATTTGAGTTCTTTCCAGTTTTGTCCTATTACAAATAAAGCTGTGATGAATATGTGTGAGTCGCTAAATGGATATCTGCTCTCATTTCTCTTGGATACATACACAGGAGTGGAATCACTGGATCACATGGCAGGTGCACCTTCAACTTTTTAAGAAACTGCCAAACTGTTTTCTAACATAGAAAATACAGCTGTATATGAGTTTCAGTTCTACACATGCTCACCGACACTGGCTAGGGTCTATCTTTTTAATTTCTGCCATTTTAATGAGTGATCAGTGACATCTCACTGTGGCTTTACTTTCATTTCCCTAATGGCCAATGAACTTAATCATCTTTTCATGTGCTTTTTTGTTATCAGTTAACTACTTTGGTGAAATATTTGCTCAAATTTTCTGCCAAGTTTTTAATTTGAATTTCATGTTCTTTTATAAGTTCTTTATACATTTTTGGATACAAATAACTTATCAGATACATGCTTTGCAAAGATTCCTCCACTCCCCCTTCATTCCCCTCCCCCCTCCATTTGTGGCTTGTTTTCTTATTCTTTCTCTTAAGAGTACCTTTGAAAATAAGTTTTAACTTGTCAATTTATTTTTTACAGGTTGTAGCTAATAAATTTATTCTTTGAGGGTCCTATCTTTGCCAAATACAAGTAACAGAAATTTTCCCTATATTTTCTTCTAGAAGGTTCTTATTTTTACATTTAGCTTTATAATATATATTTCAGTCAATTTTTGTATAAGATGTGAGGTATGGATCCAGGTTCACTTTTTTTTAACACTTAGAATATTTTATTGACTTTAGGTCAGCAGGGAACAATTACCTGCATTTATACTTTTTAAGATATTTCACCTCATTGAAAACCAAGACAAATATTACATTATAGATGTGGGACTTTCATGTGTTTGCTGCTCTGGGTTGAGAAAATGTCCATCTCTTTCCTACAATGTGTTTCAGGTTTACAGCTCACCAACAAAAGGTGTATGCCCCAAATTTCCACTTGCTGCCATTGCCTTCTGGCCAGAAATAAACTTCTTGGTAGCATTTATGACATCAGCATCAGCTATTGAGCCAATCTGCTGAGGGCCTGTGAATGGTGGCACATACGAGCCAGCAGCGAGAGCCTGAGACCCAACTTCATCCAGGAAACCTTCAGAAGATTCCACTGACGTTAGGTACCCAGCTTTCAGCCTGTTCTTGGCAGCTGGACATCTGGGCTGGAAAGGTTTCCTTGAGCAATTGCTTTGACTTGGTTGTAGGCAGCCTTGATAACATCTCCAGCAGCTGCAGCCTGGGAGATAGTATAAATCCCAAAGAGTCCAGAATCCAAGTAACTGACATTAAAAGCAGAAACAACAAATGACTGGTGAGTCCCCTTGGCAACAGCTTGGTACAGAGGGCTGGTGGCATTGCTGCCCCGCTTGACATGTGGTCCGGAGCTGAGGACATGCTGGAGAATGCTAAATGCATTTGCTTCTGCACTTCCTGTGGCAGCACTTTCTGCTACAAAGGCAGCAGGAACGAGACTGTCTCCATTCTGCTCTCGAATTTCACCTCCATGTATCTGGCCTTTGCACCTGATAAACCAAGCCCACCCCTCATGTTCAGAAACTGTTCAGCAACTTGCTTCAGAACAGGATGACTCACACCAAGTCCAACCAAAGCCATTCTTGCACTTATAAAATGGTTCTGAACATAGTGATGTAACTCATCTGGTGTCACTTTTCCAATCCTATAATCAGGACAATACAAGAAGTTAGCCAAGGCATTTTGGTAGGCTGCAGCATGCAGATTTCCAATGATATGAGCCTGTGTGTTCTGAAGAGCCACAGCGTTGTCAATCCTCAGCTGGGACCGAAGGGCAGCCACCTCCCAACGACCAAACTCAGGTGCTGTGGTGACACTGAGCAGGAACTCCATTAGAATTTCCATGTCATCCTGCAGGCATTCCACAGTGTAGGCCATGTTTTCCCTTGTTGAAGTCACACTTAATTTACCACCAACAGCTTCAATTCCACGGGTTATCAGACTGGATGCACGACAAAGCAAATGAGAGGCTCCTCAGTTGTTAGAGTCCTCGTACCCACCGCCTGCTTTAATGAGCAAACCCATTCTTGATGCAGGAGCACAGTTTTCCAGAGATGCAGTCACTAAACTATTTGGTAATTTGGTAAAGTCGAGGTCCTGGGGATGTGCAGGCACTCCTGCAGGGGCAGTCATGACTTTCACTTTGGGAGCAACTTTGAGGGAATAAAATCTCTTGAAAGACTTGGTTCTGCTTCGCAGTTTCATGGCTCCAAATTCCTCTGACCCACGGTCACCGTGGCTGAAAGGTGAGAAAGGTGGTGGCCGACCCAGGTTCACGTTTAGTGTGTGGATATGGACGTCTAATTGTTCTAGCACCACATGCTCAGAAAAGACAGTTCTTTCTTCACTGAATTTCTCCAGTTGGCAATTTTGTTGAAGTTCAGATGTCCCTATATGTGTAGACCTATTTCTGGATTCTCTATTCTGTTCCACTGATCTATTTTGTCTGTCCTTACACCAACACCACACTGTCTTTATACTATGGGTTTATTATAGACATCAAGTCGTGTTAGTCCACCAAATTTATGCTTCTTTTTCAGAGTTGTTTTGGCTATAGTTAGGTCCTTTGCATTTCCATATGAAATTTAGAATTACTGTGTCAACTTCCGCATAAAATCAACGTAGCTCCAATTCACCTTTTACTGCCTGCTCTGAAAAAAATTCTAATGGGCCCTTTATGTTTTTTCTCTGCCAACAGGCACCATGTTAATCTTTGTCGTTAGAGGGCGCTGGAAAGACACTGCAGGAGAAGGGATTTTCCTCCTGGTTCCAGTGTGCTTGTTAGGCGGGCTCCTGCAGTATACAAGGCCTATCTAGTGCCAGTTGCCCGCAGTGCACGTGGTTCCCCCATGCGTGGGTATTGCAGCCCGTGTGGCTTTGCTAGTGCCCCGTAGCACAGCGGCTTCCCTAGCATCTGAATCCTGTGGTGCATGTAGCTGGGCTGTCCCGGTGCCCAGATCCTGCAATGAGAGTGGGTCCTTCAGCACCAGGCTCCTGCCAGTTATACACCTTCTCCACAGCCAGCTCCTGCAGCGCACAGTGGCCGGCAATATCTACTGGCCACTAGCTTCTGCTGACACCCCCTCAGTCAGCTCTGCAGTGGAGCGTGCCTCAGTGACACACTTCCCCATGAACAGCTGGGAATCTGCAGGGCTCTCCCCGGGCCATGGCCTGGACACCTAGAGAGGTAAGCTAGGCAATCACATGGCTCCCCTGCCTTCTCCAGGTTAACTGTCCTTTGCAAATCAATGTTTCACGTATTTTGTGTGCTTCCAAGGTATTTCTGAGGTATTTTCGAGGGGAAGGGTAAATCAGGCCCTTGGCCAGAAGCAGAAATCTCAAAAGGATTCTTCTTCTTTGGGAAAGAGTAAATATTTAAAATGAGTGAACTTTTTTATGACTTCTCCATACATCTGGACAACTGAACCTGGTAGCAGTTCTACAACTTTAAGTTCAGGAATATACTTTCTAGGGAAATTGAGGTCAACAACTGAAAATGTTGCTCATGTTTGAGTCTAGGAAACTCTATTTGCCCCATCGTCACCCTGTGTACTGTGTAACTGTGCTTGACGAGCCCCACGGGGCTCAGGTGAGACAGTCCTGGGTCCACATTCAAAATAGCTTATGTGAAGAACTGCTACAGGCTTGTATGCATGAGGCCGGGTTTGGGTGCAGGTGGAAGGCAGGTGAGCTCTCTTGGTTTGCCATAGGCTACCCTCTCCCCTCAGATACTGTCACACATAACTCTGCACTGCTCTGAATGAGAATTTTCACCTCCATCCATCTCTTCTGAAGAATATTGCTGAGCGCGAGTTTGGGGGCCCACTCTGCTGCCTCCCTTCTCTATCTCTTAGACCAGGGGTGGGCAAACTTTTTGACTCGAGGGCCACAATGGGTTCTTAAACTGGACCGGAGGGCCGGAACAAAAGCATGGATGGAGTGTTTGTGTGAACTAATATAAATTCAAAGTAAACATCATTACATAAAAGGGTACGGTCTTTTTTTTTTTAGTTTTATTCATTTCAAACGGGCCGGATCCGGCCCGCGGGCCGTAGTTTGCCCACGGCTGCCTTAGACCCATAAGCCTTGCTTAATTTAATGGTACTAAACTGGTACTGAGTCTCCCCTTGATGTCTTACAATATGCGAACAGGCATAATATCATTTGATAAATCTAGGAGAAAACAATAATTAGAGCACTCGGTAAATTAGACTGCAACGGTACCATCACTCAGCATATTGTTAGCAGCGGTGGCTCCAGTGCTTTTTAGTTGGTAGGAAAACTGCTCAGTTTCTTTTCCAGGTTGCTCAAAATGAGAGCTAAGTGGTGGCTTGGTGGGGGATAAAGTTGCTCTTTGAAAACAAGTCAGCGAGGGGAGGAGGTGGTGTTTCTTAAGTCAGTAAACATGTATTGATTCCTAACTGTGTAAGTTTATTTTTTTGAGTGGGGAGGCAATTAAAATGTGAGCAAAGCAGCCTCTGCCTTCAAAGGGGCCAACGTGTACAGTGAGCAATGAGTCTTCAATACAAGGCAATATAAGGACACCAAGTCTCCTCACTTACATTACATTTCTGAACTACATCTCAAGTGTCAGAGTCAGACTTTTGCTGACTTAATAATCCATCCAATGTCAAAGTTGATCTGAAACTTTCTATGTAAAAATTAATATTCTCAATATTCACTAAAGGAAAATCTTTGTTTAACTTTAATGACTGTTCCTATCAGCATACAACGTGACTATATTTCATGTGAATGTGAGTTATGGAAATCTAAAATATTGCAATATGGAAATATTAGCAAACTTACTTTATGAATACACTTTGAAATCATGTGAATCCTTACAAAGGAAACATTTGTGAAGAATGGCAAAAGTTCAAAGTCTACTGGCCAAGTGACTTACAAACTGGGGCCTCCCATAGGTAGCACCATGTTAGCCAGTCAACAGAAACGCCGGCCAGTTTTGGCCAGCGAATGTGTGGATTTGATTTATGTGAGGTCAGCAGAAATGCATCCTCATTAAATGTGACTTCCCTGCACTGCCCTGATAACAGCCCATGGTCTTCTTTTCAAACGAACATACCCCTGTGCATAAGCAGCTTCTCTTCCTTATAATCCCCTTCCATTGGCTTAGGTACTAGGCCAACTCCTTTTCATATTTCAAGACTCAGTTCAAAAGCAGGCCCTTTTGAAGCCTTCCTTAATATCCTCTCCATTTACCCTTTCTTAAATTTTCCTTTTTCTAGTTTTCATGGACACATGTACATATTTTTTTGAAAATGTTGTTGTTTCTTGCACATATCTTATCTACTATTGTGAAGGCAAGTAGTATGTCTTAGGTTCTGGGAAGGCAAAGGTGCATAACACAGAACCTAGTGCAGAGTACATTTCACAGTGATGCACAGGGTGCCCATTCAATGTGCCCAGCATAATGGAATGCACTAGAATGAACAGTGAGAAACAGGACAGATGTGGTACTTGCCCAAGCCTCCAGGGTAAACAGGGAGACAAACACTTGAATAAATAACTGAAGTATGATGATAAGGGATGGGCTGAATATAGCTGAGAAACCCAAGTTTTTCTAGGGGATTAGAGAATTAACCCCTAGTACCAGGCTTGTTCAAATAGGAGATAATAATGGGAGATGTGACTTCCCAGCCAGCAGCAAAAATCAAGGAATTCTGTGCCTACCAGCTATTGAGAAAGACTCAGATGGCAGAATACCTGTCACAGGTGTTCTGAATACTCAGGGGAAAAGTGTAACTCTATTTGAATGGATTGTATATCATAACGGATTGTAAAAAACAAAGTAGTAGATTTCTGTTTCCAATGTACATTCTGAACACATGGAGAAGGCTCTGATTCAGGATGAGAGGGAACCACAGGCAAAAGCAAATCCCCATTTCTTTTCTGCATCATTCCCTATGTGGTGCTGTGTTTGGCTTTATCCTCCTCCTTCCTTCCTCACCCCATGATCAAACTTTTGAACTTGAGTTGCTTCCTTGAAAGTGAATAACACAGGGACAGCAAATGATTTACTGCCTGGAGAAGAAATTAAATTTAGAAGAACACTACTTCATGATCTATTCATAAATTTTAGATCTCATAATTTTAATGAAATATTCTGTACCTCCTATCTACCAATATATAGTATATTCTGCAACTATTTATGGCAGTATAATTAAAAACAGCTCAATATGTGCAGTCATCCATAAGTCAATGGCTCAGTTCATATCCAAAGGCATAGGAAAAGCACTAAAAATTAATTTGGTTTGACTGCTTTTATGGGTTTCAATATATGAATTGGGGCATGGGGGCAGGGGAATGTAAACATTCAGTCTACGGCACCCAGGTTTATCCCATGTAGTATATATACAACCTAAACTTAGGGTATGTATGTCCTTCCTCTAACAGTTCAAACTCAGACCTCTGTATGAGGTAGCTTTTAATTTCTATTGATATGAGGATGTGGCAAATGAACTTCCTGCTTTGAAGATAAAAAAGAAAGGACCTGAGATAAACCAGAGTGCTATAGACTGAAATCTAATCCCCAATGTGATGGCATTTGGAGGTGGTCCTTTGGGAGGTGACTAGGCCATGAGGGTAGAGCCCTCATAAACGAGGTTAGTGCTCTTATGAAAGAAAGAGATCCCACAGAGCTCTTGTCCCTGCCACAATGTGAGGTCACATGGGAAAAGGCTGTCTATGAATCTGGAAGCCAGATCTCACTGGACACTCAAATCTGCCAGCTTCTTGACCTTTGACTTCCTAGCCTCCAGAACTATGAGAAATAAACTACCTACTCTATGGAATTCTGTTTTAGCAGCCCAAATGGACCAAGATACCGCAGGCCACAGTGTTTGCTTCTCTACAATACTCTGGGCTTAGAATAAAACCTAGATATTTAAAAAGACATGACACTTAGAGTGGTTGATAGATCCCAGAGGTTGGGTAGGACACCAAAAGGTGGAGTTGCTAATTATATTACTTTCCCAGCGTAATAGTGTTACACCTAGACTTATAAAAACCAGTGTTTCTGAAGTGTAAAGAGAATTCATGATTAGTCATACAGATTCCCACTTAAAATACATGTGGGAAGCAAAGTTCTAATTATTCTTAATTATCAGTTTTCAAAATTTTTATAAAATAGCCTATTGTTCTATAGGCACATTGATTTTTTTCTCTTACTGTTATTTCCATAGATACTAAGGTTTTCTCAGCAATATTTCCCTCACTTAGGTTTGCCCTTTGTTTATCCATCAAATTCAGACCTGAATTCTACTAGTGACACAAGTGAAACCTAGTTTGACCTAAGTGTTTAGTTTTTAGTGTAGAACAATAATCACTCTTAACTGTGTGTGTGTGTGTGTGTGTGTGTGTGTGTGGTTCATGAACCCCTTTGTGAAAGTGATTAATGTTGTAGACCCCCTTTACGGACAAATGCATATATGCACACACATGTAAGTTAAGTAATATAATCTCAGGAAATCCACAGACTTCCTGAATCCTTTTTGTGAAACTCCTTATATAGAGACAAAACATTTCGTTATGTTACATATACATTCTGGTCAAGTCCCTTATCAATATGTACTGATATAAGTGAAATAAGGTTCTTGTAAATAGTAGTATATTTTTCCCTAGAAGTTTTATTTTGCTGTGATTACAATTTATTTACTTATTTATTTCTGGCCAGTTTTTCCTTACTCAGAGTAAGGGTCACATATAACTTGCCCTCTTATTTATCCGGGTGTTATGGGAAGTTTTTCCCCCCACATTCTCATTCCAGTGCACCATTGTTTTAGTTTGTATGCAGGCGATTCCTGTCCAGGAAAGATGAGGGCAACAGAAGACATGATCTGGACATTTACTTTTGTGACATAATAGATTTTCTCATTGCTGACAGAGTTGAGTTATAGTATTCTGTTACTTGCAACCAACACTAAATCAGAGATTTCTGGATGGTAAGATATTCGATTATTGGATCTTTTGGTACATTCTTTAAAAAAAATCAGTGAATTAATATCCCTAATTAAATCTTCTTTTTCATTCTAGGTATACCACTTGTTCATGTTTGCTGGACTTCTTTTGGTTCTAGGACAAGGAATTAAGTAGGTGTACGTAAGGTAGCCTCCACCGAATAAGACAGAGTGTGAAGACAGGGGACTAAGTCCCAGGCTTACTTGCTGGGATCTGCTCCTTTGAAGTAGGCGTTGACCGTTTCTGTAAATGCTGCTGCAACAGGGAGGGTGTCCTGGGCCCCCATGGTTAGAGGGCTGGGTCCCCTGGAGGAACCTGTATAAAATGAAAAATTTTCATTAATATGGGCATAAAAGACATTTTAGTATATGTGGAACTATATTAAAGGATTTAAGAATGCAATCTACTACTGAAAAAAAGGTAATGTGCTAAGAACTATAACTCTGTATATTCAACATAGAGCTCAAATATTTAAAAATAAATATTTGGCTGGTTTACAGACAAACACACTTGAAATTAATTCAGTATGTATTTTACTACAGAAAAAAATCCAAGCAGAAGAATAAAGTCCTAGGTGTTTCAATGTTTTGCATAAAGCACAAGGCAGTATTTGCATGACAGTTTGTACAGCAGGTAGTTAATAAAGGAAATGATTAGCTTCCTATTTGAGCATTCACCCTACATAATTGCCCATAACACTTTTAGCATTTCTTCACATTAAAGACACAAACAGCCACAGAGTACAATGCTACACTTTGTCCTTTTCTGGATTATTTCCATTTTAAAAATTCTGGGATTATTTCTCAATTATTCTCAGATCAAGTAGGCTCAAGCTTACATGTCCAAAAAATGGACAACCAAAATATACCCCTTGGCTTGGAACAAACATAAATGCATCAATTCATACTATCCTTATAATAAAAGGCTAATATGCAAATTGTCCCCTCAACTGGGAGTTCAACAGGGAGTATGACCTGGGGGCACTGCCAGCTGGCCAACTGCCCATGGCCCCTCCCCCTGGCCGGCCCCACCCGATTCCCCCCCCCCCCCCGCATCAGGGGCGGGGCTGGCCAACCTCCCAAGTCTCCTCCCCCTATCACCCTCCTCCCCCCGCCCGCTGGCCTGGCCTGATCAGCCCCTATTTCGGTGGGCTGGCCGGATGTCCCCCCCATCCCGCCCTACACGAATTTGTGCACCAGGCCTCTAGTCAAAAATAACAGCAATACGCATGTTTATTGAACACCTGCTACACACCAGGCACTGCACTGGATACCTTACAAGAATATCATGCAACCCCACATCGGCCCTGTGGGACAAACATTATTATTCCTATTTTACAGAAGAGAAAACTGAAGCTCACAGAGGTAAGTGACTTGCCCAAGACAATAAAGTTAGTTGAATGGCAAAATTAAAATTCAAACCTAGATTTGCCACCCTATAAAGCTCATGTTTTTCTTATTATGGCATACAGTTTGTTTAAATGATACATTTTCTTGTATTGTTTTGATATAACATGAGGCTTCCAAAGGGAGCAAGGCTTGGGATTATTATCTTTGTTATTAATATGTAGGCCTGGTGCTGAACAGTAAAGTGTTAGTAATTACAAGGTATTTAATTATGTCCCCTGCTAATGCTTCAAAGGAAGACATTTACTCTTCCCTGCCCCATCACACATTGCATGTTATGCTTCTTTTATCTTCAGTAACTCAGTCACTTCTGTTTTGGTCTCTGGCAATGAAAAAAATATATCCTTTGTATATCTCTGTCCTCAATAAAGTTTCCCTTGATAATTCTAGTTCACGCTAGTCTCTTCTTTTTCTATTCCCTTAGTTGTTAATATCTAGTAGTTGGCAACTGATTATACTAGTAAGAAACATCTGCTTACTCTCTGATATGTATCAGGTACTATGGTGTTGGGGATTCAAATATAAATGAAAGATAATTCTTGTCTTCAAGGAGTTGCAGTTCAATGTGCTAACATCACCATCAGCATTAACACCATCAACACCATTCACTACCATCACCATTACTTGCTGCGTACTTACCAGGTGTGGTACATATATTATCTTTGTAAACATATGAAGGAAGCATTACCTTCATTTTGTAGTTGATACAGCCAAGACTCAGAGTTTATACAATTGGGTCAGTCTTGCACTGCTGGTACACAGAATATTTAAGATTGGTACTCAGATATGTTTAAGTGCAAAGTTTAGGCTCTGAGGAGTATATCATTTTGCAGACTAAGTAGGAAATTATAGCATCATTTGAGGGCAAGTAAACAATTAAAGTACCAACAGTGAGTCTTATACATGTCTAAGTCGTTGCTGCCCACAAGACTGTAAACATTTAGAGAGAAGAAAGTATGACATGAACTTCTTTTATGAGACCTCCCTATTCTGTAAAACAGAGCCCAAATTACATTGACCTTTTAGTAAATAAATTATCCATTGCTGAGTCTCAAAAAGGTAAAGTTTATGCACATCTATAAATAAAGGAAGCACATGTAAACAAAGACCATTATTTTGTAATAGTGTTGCTCAGTTTATTTGTTCACGCATTAGTTCAAATACTTATTGAATGAATCCTAGGTTATTCTCCTGAAGTAGCATGGTCTCCCTAACTGTTGCTTAAACTTGGCAAGGGGGCTGGATTCTCACCAGTATGTCAGGATCATAGCCACCTTATGATTGTAGCTTGGAGTTTTGTGAAGGAATAGACCTTCAATCAAATTATTAGAGCAATTTAATAAATGCTTTGGGAATGGTACAAGCAAAGCTCTATGAAAGTACTTCATGCTTGGACACGTCTGGGAAGGTTTCATTGAGAAGGTGATAAGGTGGCTGAGGTTTGAGGATGACTGGGATCTCAGGATGGGGAGAAGGAAGATGGTCCAGCATGTACATAGGTGGACATATGTTTGCTCAGTTCACATGATATTTTGAGAAACCACAGGAAGTGTGACATTATTATTATTATTGTGTGTATGTGTGTGTTTGTGCATATATATATATATATATTCATATATATATGAATATATATATATATATGAATTGTAGCTTGGAGTTTTGTGAAGGGATAGACCTTCAATCAAATTATTAGAGCAATTTAATAAATGCTTTGGGAATGGTACGAGCAAAGCTCTTATATATATAAGAATTCATATATATTCATATATATATGAATGTGGTGGTTATTGAAGGCTGAGACAAAGAAGGAGATGAGGCTTAGGGGGTTAGGAATTAGGTCATGAAGAGGTTTATATAACTATTTAGGAAAATTTGTCTTTATTTTATATGTGATTTATAGGCATTAAAATCATAGTTACTTTTTGATAATCTAATACAAATCTATGATGCTTTTCAGAGCATCAGAATTATAAAATTTGGAACAGAATTATAAAATTCTTAAAGTTCTTGGGAGTCCTGGAACTAAAGTTAAGAATACCCTCTATGGAAGATGGGAGGGTTTTGAGGCATTTGAAATAGGACAATTAAAAGAGGGCTTGAGTTTAGATCACTCTAGCTATAGTGTGGTGGAGAATTTAGTGAGGGAGACAATAATGCAGGCAAGGCGACCTCTTAGAAAGAAAAAGATAAAAATTGGTGAGAAGTGCCGATATTAGTAGATGAAGAGAATATCATGTATAATATTTTTCAGTTCTGCATAGCCTTCAATAGTCTCCCATGATATTCTTGTGAATAAAACAGTGAAACTGGGTGGATAATAGTCTTATCAAGTGAATTGAGAATTAGATGAATCACAATAGTCAATGACAAGTATATATTACTCTACACATATTCTACAAATGTTGAGCCATTTCTAAGTAGTGATTATTCTAAATCCATTTTAAAGTAAATTGTTCTTCTTTTTTCTTTTTAACTATTTCCTTAAGATACAGTTTATTACTACAAAGTGGGATGACCAAACTATAAGGCAAATACATTTTTTACTAATAATGACAGATTAGTTTGCATAAAGATTATACTTAATTAAAATGCTATTAGTAATAAATGAATGCTTCTGTTCCCCTGCAGTACCTTAAGAGAGTCTGTTAGTATTATCATTAGAAAACTGGTTTAAAACCAGAAGAAAATCTAAGGTGGTGAAAAATTCAAACCTCATGGCCTAAGAGAACTATGAGGAGCCTGTCACCTATTTTCAAATATCTGAAATAATATTACCAGACATTGACTCAAGGGACCAGAGTTCATGGCCATGGATCTGCAAGTTAATAGCCTGGTGACCCTGGGCAATTCAATTAACTTTAGATTTTCTCAACCATAGAACAAAGGCAACAGAATACATACTATCCGTGTTTTAGAATTCTATGATTTTTTAAGTTGTTTATAGGTACTTAAAAAAATTTGAACAGTAGGAACAACTTTCTAACAGGGAAATAAGCTGCCTTGAAAATAGTATCTCTTCATTGGAAGTTGGGGGAGGGGGATCTGTCAAACATTTACTGAACCTCTACTTCCTGCAAGATAATGGTGGGGACACAGATATGTAAACTCTCAGGAAACAAGACATAAACATATGAAAAACTTAATTAACATAAGCAAACAAAAGCTTAAGACAATAAAGTGATAGCACTAGGTTTTTTCACCCAAGATTAATTGCCAAATAAGCCGGATGGGGGCACTGATCTGTGATTGAACAAAAGGAAGCTTGGGCTCTGGTCATACAGACTTAGCTCTGAATCCTGGCTCCTCCATTTACAATCTGGATGACCAGGAGCAAGCTACTTGTCCATGACTCAGTTTCCTCAGCTTTAAAATAGAACAGATAATAATAATATCTATGCTAAAGGCTTGTGGTGAACATCAAATGGGATATTTGTGAAGTCCTTAGCACAGTATGTACTCGAAAGACATAATTATTGCCATTTTTGTTGCTGTTACTTTGTCAGGGCAAGCTTTACTCAGGTTGTTGAAATAGAGTAGGTTCTTTGAAGTTAAGTATTTACTTTGGTAGGAAACAAAGGGAAATGATACCACAAATGGTATTTTTCATTGAGCATAAAGCTAAACTAGAATTGTCAGGTTTCTTTCATCACTAAAATTCTGTTATCGTAAGACCTTTGTTATATGTGGTTATTATGTCTGTTTAAGTTGCTTGACATGATGCTTGGACCAACAGGAGGTACACGTTTGTTAAATGCATGTTTGTCTTTTGATTCATTCAAGTGTGAGTTCTTGCAATAATTAGACATTGTACTAGGTGCTGAAGGATACATAGAAAAATACAAAATATGCCCTAATCTTCATGAGGCTTAAAGTATGGAAAGGAACTATAATATTAGGTAAAAATAAATG